TCAACAAATCTGCAGGAAAACTTTGTAACTGATGTGCTAAGAGGTCTGTAGGGTATTTAAGGTGTTCTGATTACAAAATAGAGTTAAAAAATGTTTCATCACGTCCAGCTATTTTTGTTATTTTAGTAAATGTTGTTGGTTTGACCCCTAAACCGCTTGCGTACAATACAAAAAATCCTATGTGTTAGGCAATTTTTACTACCTTTTTCGGCTTGAGCAACCAAAAATTAGCGAGAAACAGCCTCTAACATCTAACTGTAAACTAGTGTAATTTATAAATAATGTAGTGCTTACTCGCAGGTAGTTCTATATTTTTATGATGCGCGTGGATTCGCATTTGTGCTCTGACAGAAATTTTATTTATTTTTGTTTTTGTTCAAAGGTAATATAAACAAAGTTTTCACTTGAAGTGCACTCAATGTCTTATATGCTACTCGGACATAGTTACGCATTTAAATATGTTTGTACAGATGTGTATGTGAAAGCGTGTAAGAGGACGTGCTGTTTTTCATACATATGTTTTCCACCTTTGAATTGAACATGTACATTGTTTGGATTACAAGACCTAACAGCAGCTAGGCAGCGCCAATCACAAAAAAAAATATTTTGAAACCTTCTGCAACTACAAGTTCTGCAAACACTTGTGTGCTTTCTGTTGTGAGTGTAAGCTACTACGCACACATGTACTTATGCAAATATAGTTTGTATATGAAAATATACAAATATTTTGGTAGCTAAGCTCCTCTATCGTGCTCTAATGCTCTTTTCCACGGGAGCAGGTGAGGTTGCCAATTTGTGTAAACATGCAAGCCAGAAAATCCACAAATTTACAAGCGTAAAGAATTTCAATTTAGAACAATAAAAAAATGGAAAAGTGTTAACATGTTGATGCTTAAAAAGTTTGGTGGCTTTCAGAAAAAATCAAAAAAATACTGAGGTTACTACAAATTTTAAAACCAGTTCCCATAGTCACGCAAGTATATGCTTTAATATTAAAGAGAGATGTAGACAATAAGAATGAAAAAAGACTGCTAAAAATGTTTACTAGTGGAAAATGTGATTGATTGGTTGAAGAGCAGAATGACTTGGGTTCTTTTACTGAGACTTGAAATTTTTTTTATTATTATATATATATATATATATTAGGGTGGAGCTAAAAAAATTTTTTTTTGTTTTTTGCTTAGCCTGAGGGTAAATTTTGTAGATTATAAACAAAAAAGTTTTGGAAAAAAAAATGTTTAACGTCTAGAAAATTTGATTGGTTTGAACTTTTCACATTTATATAAAAATTACCGAAATTGACGGTTTTTGACTCAATATTTATTTTAACGCTTAAGGAAAGCATGTTGTCGTTTAAGACTTTTTTTTAAACTCCAATAATGACCACAAAAATTTTTTTTAGTTGATAACTTTTAATTTAATTGAGTCCTCCACAGCTTCTAGAACACTTATTAAAAATAATATACGAAATAAAAATTTTAACTCGAAATTTTACTTTAAAAGTGAGTGGGGCCGCCTCTAGATGTTAAACATTTTTTTTTATGTTTTTCCAAAATTTTTTTTCTGTTATAATCTAGAAATTTGACCTCAGGATAAGCAAAATAAATTTTTTTTTTGCTCCACCCTAATATATAATATATATATATTATTTCATATATACATATTATTTTATATATTATATTATATATATTTATAATATAGGAATATTTCTACTAGTTCGATACTTAATTTTTATTGACATAGCAGAATATGACTGACAGCTTATTTGGTGTGTTCCGCTTATTAACCTTTGCATTAGAAGTAAATAAAAGGGAATTCTGCCAGAAGCAAAATGGTTGCTCAGTAGGATATATACCTTTCTGCCATCTATATATATATATATTGATATTGCAGATCAATAACGACTGACATGTGCGTGTAGATATCTTCAAAAACTATACATACTCAACTGTCAAAACCAACACAGAGACGAGTATTTAGCTAAAGTGGTTGCTGTCAGTTCTACTATTGCTGCATACATTCAGAAAATAAACACACGTAAATATTAGTATTTTTTTTGTAATAAAATTGATTTCCACTAAAATTTTACCGTAATACAAAATACTTGTTACTTTAAAGTTTGCTTTGAATTTGCATTAATACAACTAAACGCTGAAAAGCACACTAAGTCTTCGCTCTCTGCATAAATGGAATTCACATTCACTTACCCAACTGTTGCTCTGCCATGAACTCGCCGCATTTAAGTTTACCAACCATTGCTGCAAGCGTACTACACATAGCACAATCATATTCTATAGTTATGCACCTGATTTTTGTAATTTGGCACCGGTTCAAAAAGCGTCATGGTGTAAAACTTTGTTCAACTGCAATGGGCGGCTTAATAGGAACACCCACAAACAATGCGAGTTATAAACCACGCTGCAGCGAAATGTTGCTCAAAAAGGAGGCCAAAAACAACATTTGCAATAACAACAACTCACTTTAACACTTTGATGGTATGCAGCTGCTAGAAAATGCTTGAATCTGTTTATTGACTTGTTCTGAGTTTATTACATGGGACACGCCAACGCAGTTCTCTGGTACCACCGCCTGCCAACTGGTTAACGAAAGTGGGCGGTATAGCAGGCATATGAATAGCTGGTAGTGCAACAAACTGGCTCGCAGGCAGGAAGGAAGGAAGCGACAGAATGTTACGCAGCGACTAAAAGCAATATCGGCACTGTTAATGACAATCAAGTTTCCATTTTTGCGTGTATGTAGAAATTTTTTTGCTTTGGCTTTGTTGCTGTACGTTTTTTTTTTTAATTTGGATTTTTATCGCTGCTCTGAATTTGTGTTGTTATTGGTGGTTGTGGACATCCGAAGTTGTCGCTCGTACTTAGCTGCTACACTTTATGACCCCAAGGGCACGCACTGATTCACGAACCCTCATAAAGCAATCAAAAGCGCTTAAGCATATACGACGACTGCCTCCAAAATTGTTTGAATTTTTTTTTCTGTTGTTTATGTGAGCATTTGCGTGTTTGACCGTGGATTTTGGGTTATTATGCATATTCATTGAACTTTTTGCGTTTTTTTTTTCTTTTCAATCGATTAGTTCGCAAATCCAAGATAACGAGTAATAAAAAGACCTAATAAACTACGACCTAATGTGAACAAAACCTAATTTCTTCCAAAGTTGGCAAAAGATGTAGTTCATAGTCAATCATTGCTGTACTTTGATTAATAGATTGATATAGATCCTTACATTAAATGTATCATTTCATATCTTTAAACTAAAATAACATACTTTTATAAAAGCAAGAGAGAAAGCCTCTGAAGCTAGTGCTCCTTTACTTTGTATAATAATAATTGTATAATTATTTTACATATAATAAATAAATAAATAAAATATGAAATCATCATAATCGTATATATGTATACTTATCGCTATAGTATAGCAAAATGGCAGCACTCTCTAAGTAACGCCAGTTTTTGTAATCACTTCGCTATCAATTTCAGCTATCAACAAGTTGGTCAGGGTCGACAGCTGTCCATCGTGTCATAACAGTGACTGCGCTCCCACGTGACTCCAATTTCCCTTGCAAGTAAACCCTCGAGAAATAAGTTAGCCGTGACGTCATACAAGTAACCACTGTTGGATACACATCGTTTAGCAAAGCATTCACATTAAAACGAAAATCATGCGACATCGAAGTTATGATACACCAGCTCCAGGTTATGCCCATTCAAGTGGTCGTAAACATTTTTTGATAAGTGTTCTAGAAGCTGTGGAGAGCCCTCTTTCTGGCCAATTAAGAGTTATCAACTTAAAAAACACTTTTGTCGTCATTCTTGGAGTTTTAACAAGAAGTCTTAAACGGCAACATGCTTTCCAAAAAAAATTTTAGCTCGAAATTTATTTTGAAAGTGAGTCGGCCGCCTCTAGATACTAAAAAAATTTTGTTTTTTCCAAAAATTTTCTTTTTTTATAAACTATTGTACAAATTTTACACTCAGGCTAAGTAAGAAAAAAAATTTCGCTCTACCCTTATAACTATGTAAATTTTCTTCAATCTGACTTCTATTCATCTATTTTAATTACATATACCTTCAGGCACACGTTCACCCAGTTGAAACATACATCATTGTCAACGACAGTTTTCTAATTTATTCCAGTCTTTGGGGCAGCGAAGTTAGAATACCCTTCACAAATAAAAAAAGTTTCTATACAAGGGTCAATAATTTCTTTGGAGATTCCATTATTGCCTTAGACAATAACTCAAGCTTAATTTCGCGAAGATACCTCGTCAAATGTTTTCCATGCAAGCACTCTACTCTGATCGTTCAGTTAATAAGGCAGATATATGCTATAGTCATCCAATCTATATAATTTCTTCGATAATTATTGCTTTGTCTTGGATAATAATCTATGCTAAATTTCGTGTTGATACCTTGTCAAATGAAAAAGTTTTAAATACAAGAACTTGATTCCGATCGAGATTGGTTTATCAGTGTACAGATTCTTATATTGCTCTCATCACTTAGTTAATTCAAATGCTTTAAGTTTCGGTTTTAGAGGGAAACAAAACATAATTTGACAGTGTATTTTAATACCAAATTTATCGTGGTTGCCCAAAACTATAATTTCAAAGTCACTAAACCATTCATTGAATAGTAAAAGGCTCCTTTGTACCTATTCATATTATCCATTATTTTTCCGTTCTTGCTTTCACCAATTGAATGTCAAGAGTTATGGTGGCTTGGTTGTATCAGTTTGTGTAATTTTTAGCTTTAAACGTTGGTTCTTTGTGCGTGCGGAGGGGTAAACAGAGGGCAGTGAGTTGTCGTTTAGAGTAAGCATGCCGTCCTCTATTCTCACCGGCAGCACAAATATCTTGTCCTTGTTTACAGAACTTTCTCAAGTTCAATCGAGTCGTCAGTCTATTCTAATATGAGCTATATTATGTTTGTGTGGTCTTGGTTTATAATCGCTTTATACATACTATTCTACCAATTCGTTACGAAGCGTTATTTTCAATATGACCACCACCAATATGAGGGCCATTCAGCATCGTCGACAGCATACGTCGACTTCTTATTCGTAAAAGTTTTAGGCGCACACTTGCCGGTCCATACGCGTTCAATTTCGCTAAGGAGGTCACAGGCTTTATGGTCGGTGTCAGCTTAGCACCCAACGAACACGCTTTTGTCAAACTATTTGGTGTATCGGGCTTAATCAGTTTGGACTCAAGTTTACTCATACAAAGTGCATCACCCAGTTCATATTGATTGGTACGGCTGTCCCACTCTTGCGAGTTAATCGACATGTGATCATCGCCGAGGGGTCGCGCATTACGCGTTGCATGCACCATACTACTGTTAATGAAGGAGCGACGCAAATTGTCACTACGGTTGCAATTTATGGCTGAAGACTGCGGATGACCGAGACAAAAGTTATGCACACTGCCCAACTCTGTCGAGTAGAATATTGCTATCGCCACCATTGGAACGTTGCGACAGTTGAGATTGCAGCATGTGATGGTGTTGCTTCTGATGTTGTTGTAGTTTGGTAGCGGTCGCTGCAGTTATACCATTTACTTGATTTGCAACGATTTCTTCTCGTTTGGTGAGAGTTGTTGTCAGTGGGGAGGTATAACGGGAACGATGTGATGAATGACGACTAACGCTGTTGCCACCCATTTCACCGCTGCTGTTGATTGTGGTCGTCGTTGTTGTTGTTCGGATGCTGTCCTGAAGAGAGAGTTGATGTTTTTGGTCACGACAATGCAAATACGTAACTCGGTAAGAGTGGTAGTTATCGAGAGCGTTGTTATTCACCGTTGTATGAAGACGCATGGAACCGTTCTGGCTTAGCAGTGCGCTGTGTTTGCGGCTTTAACTCTGATAGCGGCCGGGGAATCCTAATTAATGAGCTAGAATTACCTGCGAAGGACAAAATAATCCTTTTTTTTCATTCAGCGAATTCCACAATTCCTAAGTAAAAAGCTGTTTCTAAATATGAGGTGGTAAAATGAATGATCTAAGATGTGATGGATAGAGGTGAGGAAGGGTAGGAATAGACTAGATGGCAGAACAAGCGGGGTCGAAATGAGGTCTAGTGGGATGAGATGGTAAAAGATGCGTTGAGGTTAGTTGAAATGTGTATAGTTTCGAAAATAAGCCAGTGAATTCGAAGCGAGATGATATTTCTAAAATAATATGCGATATAATGTATGTTTTACCAATACCTAAAGTGGTAAGACATTTCATTTGGCATATGTATATAACATTTATTTTCACTTGCGCTTTTCACCTATCCGACTTAACATTAACCTTAGCTCACCTTGAAAGCATCATTTGAGAAGAGAAAAGAAAATAAAAGAAAACACATAAAACGGCAGAAGCAAAAAGAAAAAGCCATTATACAAATAAGTAATCATGCAAAAGATGTACATGCATATAATTCAATTTAATTTCGTTGGCACCAAATTGTTTGATGTACATAAAAAATAAAGCAGTCCCAATAAACAACAGATGTATATTATTAAAAAACATATTCGTGTATTGGCATTTTTAACTATCTCTAAGGCAGCGCTGCATATGAACATCAAAAGAGAAATAAAGATGTGTGAATATTCGATAACGCCGAGAGGAGCGCCATGTTTCTTACCTTAAATTTCCTACAGGGATGCATTTACGAAGTAAATGTTGCCACCGATCCATTACACACATCATTCAGCCATCGCGTGTTTGTGTAACCTTAGCAGAAACAAATAATCATTCCCTGTGTTCACCTTAGTTCTCGGTCTGCTAAAGTTTAATTTGCATTTATTGATGCTACAGGTGCCTTAAGGGACTGCTTGCTACAGTTAATAGGTTACTCGCCCACTTGTTGAATACATAACTGCAGGATTCGTACTGAGAAAATAAAAAACTCCTTCGAGTTGATATGGCTAGCGGTTACGGCAGCAATCGCCTGCTGCCTTATGTGACATTAATTGATTTGAGCGGGCGTGTTATTATCGACGCCTACACAAATTATGTAAATATTTGTTTAGGCATATTGAACTGGAAACAAGAGGAGAGTTGATAAAACGATGGCCTGGGTGAAAGGAATTTGTGATGCGTTATTGAATGTATTTCGCTTCATTTGTTTGACAGAATTTATTTAACTGTTTTTCATGTTGTTTGGTCACGTGACGCGAAACTCGTGACAAAATCATATGAGCGACACAAGTTGTAAATATGTGGAGTGTTTATGGGATGTCTAATATTTTTGAGTAATTACATAACTCACTAGTTGTCATAGAAGGCGATAGTAGGAAATATTTCACAACTGCTTTAGTTTATATTAATATGCGTATTTTTGTTAAAATTATTGAAAACGTCACGTACGTCACAGCGTATGACAAACGAAATAAAGTGACCATGCAAGCAAAGACAACGTCTAAAGTCTACAGTCAATTGGTGTTTGAATCTTGACAACTACACCGTATTCTTTTCATAATAGATTAAGCAATATTATTTAGTTAAACAAAATTGTTGAATGATAAACATCGAATTAAGACTCACTAACTATTCATTTGAGCAACAACAATTACTTACCCAACATCCTGATCCCACGACTTCGAGCACTGATACCTCGACGCAAATCCAGACTACGTCTACTTTAATAATCATCAGGCTTATAGCGAATCCGTCTTAATTGTCATTCTATTGCTTTATTTCCGAATTATTTACTATATATTTTTATATACAACATTTCAAACCTTTCGAAAGGCTATATGTAACAAATGCAACTCACCTGACAATAGCAACACCAAATCCGACACAGCCAAGTTGAAGAGATAGAAATTAGTCGCGGTGAGCATAAATTTATTTCTCGAGATAACAATGCAAGTAATGAGATTACCCAACACACCAGCCACGAAAATGATGGCGTAGAAGACGGTAAGCGTTATCAGTGCGGACATGGGGAGCTGCTGCTGCGGCAACTCCCAGGTCTGATTGAGCTGCGCAGTGTTTAGCAGATCCGTTAGGTTCTCCGTCGATATATTCAGAGTCAATGACATATTCTGCTTGAATGCCTCGCTCTGCAACAATTGCTGTAGGTCCCCCACGGAGGACGAGTCAAAGGCAAAGAGCGGCGAATTAGAGTAATACGCTTGACTTATGAGGATATCCTCTTCGAGCAGCAACATTTCGTCAGATGTTTAGGCGCTCGTCAAAGTGCTGGCGGAAATGGTAGAGGTTGCCAGTTGAGGGCGCCAAATATATGTTGCGCTGGCTGGGGCGGTGCTTAGTTGCTGGTGTGAAATTTAATTTTCTGTAATAGGCGCGAGGCGTTGGCTGTAAGAGAGTAAAAAGTGCTGTATTTAGTATATATGCGTAAAAGTAGATATTGAGATCGAATTTCGAGCTTCATTGTGGTTGATAGAATATTAAGTCAGTAGGCGGGGCAAACGAAAACATTGTAGCTGTAAGGCATATATTTCACAATAAACACAGATGCTGGCATATATATGTGTATGTACTGATATACATGGCTTTGTAAATTCTTTACATTTATTTTTTCATGCAAATAATGTGCCACAGATATTTAAGTTGATAAAAATGTATTTTCTCCTTTATGGTAATTTAAAGCGTCTGACTTTTTGCCTTTTTGTGGTTGGTCTTTTGTGTCAAGCATTCAACAGGAACAAAACATATATATGGGCTTCGACTTTAATACTGGAGAGTTTTACTTTTTTAAAATTGTTTAACGTGTTGGACTCATGCATGCTGTAAATTTAGTAGAATGAAAGAAAAGCGAAAGTTAAAAGTTCACAATACTTCGGCATTGCGGAAACCCTCACACACACCAACGATGCAATGGAGCAGAAGTTAAAATTACTTTGCCATGTATTGTAGTGCATTTGCAAAATAACGAAAAAGAAAAAGTCAGAGACAATAATTCACGCAGCATGTATGGTGAAGTGTGCGGATACACTATGGAAAATTCAAAGCTATTCTGGTATTGTGAATCACAGCTAATGTAAAATTGGAGAACGATGGAGTACAAAGCAAAAGAAAAAATTCAAATATTTTATCAGTTCTCCCATCGATTGACTGAACTTTTGCATTAAAACAAATTTAGATATAATTTTTTTAGAGGTATATGAAATAAATTTCTTGGTTCATGTATAAATTAAAATAAAATGCACATAAACAATAAAATACATTTACTTATATACATAATTATTCACTAAACAGATTGAATGAATAAAAACTGAGTTTTATTAATAAGGCAATAATACGATAATACACAATAAACAAATTTAAACAGTAAAATCAAGTAGCATGTTTAACTAATAAAACATTATACCCCCATAAATATTTTCTTGGGGACTTAGCTCTAACTCTAACTTTAACTCTAACTCTAACTCTAACTCTAACTCTAACTCTAACTCTAACTTTAACTTTTACTCTGACTCTAGCTCTAACTGTAACTCTAATTGCAAATTTAACTCTAACCCTAACTCTAGATAAAAGAAATACAAATAACTCTTCTGCCGTTCATTGTCCTTGAAAAGGACTGAACTTGGAAGTTACTACGGAATGTGTACAATTACTTGTAACATGTTGAAGGGGAAATAAACATTACACATTACTCACACACTCAAAGTATAGCATGCTTTGGCATTGCTGACATACTATATACTCAAATTTTACCTTAGAACTTTTCTAACACCTTTTTTATTTTGAAAATTTACTACGAACTACACAACCGATCTTAATGAAATTTACACAGGTTTTTCAGATATAATTTAGAAGGTTATGAATTCAATTACAATTATCTTCTTGAACGATGGAGTTTTATTCAATAACAACTATTAAGTTTAAACACGTATTTTTTGTTTTTACTTTTGATGATCCTGTCAGAAGTTCTGCTGTCAACGCGAAAGCACCTTGTTTTTTAAAAGACTGCGGGAAATGACGTCGTAATGACCAAGTTTTGAATATTTTCATTTGAAAATTTCCGAAATCTTTATCAAATATGTATCTTCGGAATTATAAAAAGTTTGAATAAAATATTTAATTTTTTTATATGAAAAAAATATTACTAAAAATAGGTCGTTTTTTGCTCGACGAAATCCATATAACCCCTTAAATAAAGCATCTCTTTCTCTCTCTACTCTGCATTCCATATTATTAGCAGCATGAATACAAAGGTATACGAGTAAACTTTGAACGTATGAAGAACTTCAATAGAGAAGTGTTAAAAAAATCACAATAAAGCAATTGTATCGTAGATAAATCACTCTGAAAATTGTGGAGCTATATTTAAAAAAATTCAAAAGTGAAAAACGTTTTAAAGGTCATTTGCATGCACATATCCAGAGAATTATTGATTTTGTTGGTAAACAATTTTATAGCCATTGAAATATAGAAATAATAGCATATATGAGTGTGGTTATGTTTATTTATTCGAGAGTGAAAAAACACATCAGTAAACACTTTTCTTATTTATGCATTTCTCTGTTGATTTTGCCATTCAGCTCGCTGTTAAATTTTATGAGGCTTGCTGCGACCAGAAATGGCGGTTATTTGGAAGATTTTATTTTTGTTTTGTTAAAATATCTTTCTTTATTGAATCTGTCTGTTCAAAGCATTACGAAAGTTAATAAATCTTAAATCTTTTTTAAACTAAACAAGCTCAATCTTGTAGTTGAGATTTCTGCTAATACGTTGCTCTTTAGAAGGCTGGTAGATATTTACTTATTAAGCTAGTTTGATTACAAGGCATTAAATAACGGATCCAGTTCATTACACAGTTTAAGTTCATAGGCTGTGCTCTACTACTTTCTTTACCATTAGAATACCAAGATCTTTGTGAATATTTTCATTTTGAATGTACCATGGTGGCATCGTTCTAAGGATTTTTGACTGAAACCTTTGTGTTATATCGCTGTTGGTTTCACAGGTCGTACGCCACAGTTGAATACCATACAGCCAAACCGGCTATATTAGTATGTTGTTTAATAAAAATTTTTTTTGTCAAGGCTAAGTTTTGAATTTTAACTCAGTTTAATTTGCACGCTTTTCTTAGTTTACGAACAGCGTCCTTCAATTGCCGCTCAGTAAAAAGAGATCGATTTGCTTGCCATTCACGTCTAGCTTGCCGTTTGTGCCTATAAACTTCTCTTTTTTATCATTTGAAATAATTTAATCAAATAGACAGATTATTATGCAATTCGCTATTTATGACCTCAAGACAGCGTGGAATATCATTTCCAAGAATACTAAGTTCACAGAAATGATAAACAGTGCAACAAGACGTGGAATGGGGTCAATACAATGTCATTGCATATCGTATACATGTTTATGTGCTGATATGAAGTTTTTCTACTCTTTAGTACTCACCTCGCACAGAAGACGTAGAAAGGCACACGCACAAAGACAGTAGTGTAGCTGATAGTGTTTGATTTATACATATATTATAAATGTATATATATATATACATTACTAACAAGTCGTTGCCAATGCCACGCGAAGCAAGAATTCCGTATTCAATGTCAACATTGAACTTTTCGTTCGTTTTCAGCAGCACGAATGATTATGGGTGAAATATATTATATAAAACTATGTACAAAAGACATATAAATCTGAGTTATTTAAAGTTAAGAATTTGCGCTTTTGCAAATATGTAGAAGAGAGAGGTAGCATTTAGTCTGGTCTCTTTGCTAAGTAGTTGAGAGTTGAGGATGAGCTTAAGTTATAGATAGAAGCGCCATTCACATATATTCCAAATGCTTTTATTAAAAAAGTTTATGCTAGGTTTATATTATATATCATTTCTGTCATTCATTTTGCTTCAAATGCTTTATTCTATCCTACTGTGCTAAATAGCACCTTTCTTAAACTGTTGTATTTTAGTAAAGCTATATTAAGATGCTGACCATCCGAATGAAAATTACAAATGTAATAACGTACAAATAGCCAATATAAAATAGACAAATTACACCAATTACATTGAAATATGGGCAAATAAACTATCAACCGAAAGCATAGCCGAAATCAGTAATGAACTTTGATTTTTAGCATGGGTGTGAGGCTAAACCAGACTATATATGTACTACTTATATAAGCCAATATATAAGCCACTAACTCAAAGGCTATTTATTTGTAATGGAATCTAAACTGCAAATAATACCATAAACAGACGATTAAGATGAACTACTTTTAGTTTATTGACATAATAAAATTTTATTTCAGAAGCTAATAATAAAGAAGACTTTGATTGTATAAGTTGCAAAATAAAAGTAATGATAAATAAAGCAGATTAAAGAATTAGTGACATAATATTTACTGAAAGAAATTTTAGGTGAAGAAATTATGCTGAAATGATACCTGCATATGTCATGATTTTTATTCTGATTCATGTACATTTGATATGTCTGACTCATTTTTCAACATTGAAAATACTATATTATTTTATTTTTATAAATATAATCGAAAACAAATTTCTATAGAGTAATTTTAAAACTTAGGGGTTGATATTTTCGTTTCTATAGCCAAGCAGATTTAGATCTGGAGACTTAAAAACTCTCTTGCATTGCGTCTCTCCAGTCGGAATAGCAAATAAAAACTAAAAATCACTTCTGATTCGTGTGAGTAGATTCGTATGTAATGGCATACTTATTAAATGTCGAATCGAAAATAAAAGAATACAACAAATACCAAAAAAAATCACCAGAAGCCATAAATGATGACGAAAAAGCAAAAAACTTTCTGTCGCTTCGTTGAAATATGAGTAGATAATTAACTGGCAACTACTATAAACAGCTGTTCGACGACTTGATTGACAGCTTTATTTAACAGCATGTGCCTTATTTGTGATGTTATATTTCTTAAACATTTTCGGATAATGAATGTGTGATAAAGTAAATAATTAAACGTTTGTATGTAAGCACCACTATTTTAATACTACGCACCAAATTAAGCCCACATATAAATGGGTGTATGTATTCTAACTGATAAAATAAATCTCCTTAAGATTCATTAAATCAAAATGAGATAAATAATTAATGTTTAGTGTTGATGAAAATAGATACTACTTATTATAATTCTTTGAGTAAAAAATTTAGATTATCCAGAATGAAAAGTTGAAGCAAAAGAAATATACGGATATTCAAAATCACACAACAACTCTTATATACTTTATAAATATTGA